GATAATTAGCGAGTTCCACTAAGCACCTTCTCCCTCCTCTTGTCAACTTTTCCCCCCATAAATTAAATGCAAAATCACTTAAATGCAGATTTAGAGAACATCAGTTTAAATGCATAAAGGGTCAATTATATATAAAGACAAAGATACTACAACAAATCAATTAACCTGAAGAGACAGTGCTTTGTGCAAAACAACATTCTCATGTCTGGTTGAAAAGGCTTCTGAAGAAGAGTGGTTTCTTCATTTCCCTTTGTCAGTGGTATGAGCAAAGCTTGTACAACATGCAAGAAAGGGGAAGAGATGATTTCCCAATAACACATGGGAAACACACGATATGATGAGTCCTTGACATTCACAACTGAGACAGAAACTTCATCTGGATTTCAACTGAACCGGTCTCAAACCCAAAGTAAATTCATTTAGATGTCCTTTTCTTTAGCTAGACTGCCATGCCAACACGCCACAGCATTTTTGTAGTTTTGATGAAAAACATGAGTGAGTCTCCGCAGCCTACCAACAGGCACCATTGATCTCATCCCAAGTCCTAGGCGAGCTGTTGACACGCAGCGTCCTTGCCGTGTTTGGCTCTGCCACTCAAACGCTGATCGGGGGGGACGGTGCAGAACCAGGAGCAGCGTCTTCCAAGCAGGCACCTGGACAGCTCATTCCCCGTGTCTCCTATGCCATAATGTTTATATGCAGGATACTGGATGATATTCACGATGCAAAATAAAGCAGCCTTGTTCAGAATAGTTACTGGAACATCATCATATTGCCACAATCGCAGTTTACTGGCCCATCAGTCCCACCCCGGTCACTACCAAAAGGCTATCTTACAGCAAATGAATAGTGGAAGATGCGATGGTGATGAACTAGGCTGGTCTTCGCTTTGCTCCCTTCGCAAGAGCAGCAAGGAATCTCTCTTCCACGGTGGGTGAAAAGGGTGTTTCAGAGCTGCTCTCCTCCTCTCAGTTATCTGGAGCATTTTGCGGGAGGCATAACCATCTGCCAGCAGTGTGTGGCAGCAAGGAAAGCTTGCAGTTATCATGAGTTTGGTACAGACACTGGTGAGTAATAAAGTTTTAAAAGAAATAGGACAAGCTAGTATAGCACAAAATTATATCCATCATAATTAAAGCATTCATAAGAAGCTTAATTACAAATACATTCTGTTAATCTCATTAAGACATCTAAACATGTACTCTTTTCAGCTGCTCTTCTCTTAGAAGGTATAAACTCATGACAGGGAAGGGGGAAAAAAACCAAATGTTTTTTAAAAGTTTATTTCTAGCCCTGAAAGAACAGTTATTAAACAAAGTCAACAAATACAGTAGTTAATATTGCAGTAACAATTAAATAACATAATGGGATTAAATTACACAAAAGGCAACATTAAAATCTGAAGACAGTTAAAAAAAATAAAAAGAAAGCTTGCACCTACTTCCATTTCCATTGACAGTGTGAGGAACAGAGGGAAAAACGGACCAGAGACATTTATTTAGTCAACTCCAGCTGGAGAGACCCTTAACAACCTTCTTGCTCCGTCCCCAGCCCACCCACCATCCCCTCTGACAAAGGGACCCACTATCTCCCTTCTGCTCTAGCCATACCTTTTGCACGTCCCTGCACCGGAGAGCTGGGGGGAAGCCTACAATCAGTCTCGTTAACACCTAAGGCAGGTCAAAGTGCACATTCCCAGCGCCATGGTTGCTTCTCATGAAAAGTCTGGTTCTATGATAACAAGAAAATCCCAGGAGTCACGCATTCCTTGCACACTTGCAACTCAGCAATAAACTGCCTGGCTTCGTACACCCACCTAACCATGCCATTGTGCATTACACTTATGTATCACATGATTACATATGTATCACATGCATATTTGCTTAGAATCTGACTAGGATATTATGCTGGCACCCAAGAGAGCGCAAATCCCAGCGCTTTCAGATGCAGTCCTTCCCTTATCATCATTTACTCAAACTCTGGCTGGTCTCTGTCTGCCCTAGTGACACAGCAGAGTTGAACAGCCCTGCAGCAAGTCTTGAAGACGCTAACCTGCTCCCTTCAGGGGAAAAAAAAAAAAAAAAATACGGCTTGCATTTTTTAATCTTGCAGACACATCCAGCTGACAATCGTTAGAAAAGCGATGCCTGACCCCTAAGACACAAAAGCACAGTACGGCAACATTCTCCTGGCTCTCCTCTTCTGCCAACTCCACCTTTGGCCCCGACTTCTGGCAGCGGCGGGTGAGAAACCTCACCACATAACAATAAAACTGCTGCGTGGGGAAGGGGAGATGGGGACACTTCTCAACTTCAGAGCTAAACACCATTCCAGGTCACACAGCAAGCACTGAGATATGTTTTGGTAACTTCTGGATTCGCCCAGGTTTTGTGCGCTAAGGTCACTGAAAGTTTGGAAATCATCTCTTAAGTAGACTAAATTGGACAAATTTTGTAATATATGTTTTAAACCATTCTCATTCATCAATAAAAGTGAACTAATAAGTTAAAATTACTTATGATTTCATGTTTTTCTATTCTAAAAAAACCTAAATTTATCACAAGTTATCTTACTGTCTAGATTGTGCCATCCAAAAAAAAAAAAAAAAAGAAAAAAAAAGAAAGAAGAAAGAAAAGCTCCCAGTTTAATTCTGGCACAAGGAGTTTCACAAAGTCCATTGCCAGCAACGGACAAAGAGGGAACCATCAGTACGACAGGTTTTTTATCTCAGCCAAGCCTCCTGGCTACTTCATTTGATCAGGGAGCCAGATGCACGCAAGCTGGGGGCATCGCCATTACAGTGCTTACAGTGTCCATGGCTCATCATACATTTTGCCTGGGAAACGCATCTAGATTTACTTGCCTGGAATGAGACACTTCCTCAAATTTAAAAGCATAACTATTCTTACACTTACAGCTAGAGGGATTTATTCCTTTGATGGAGCAGTTAACATAATTTATCTGACGTAAATTTATACTACCGCACCAGAGCAGAATGCAAGCTGAACTGCGATACTGCAGTGCCCTGCACAACAAGGCACCTTGTTGGTATCATGCCATTTCCTAGATGCTAGTGAGTCACAGCAGCACTGGAAGACCCTAGCCCCACTTCCCCTCCACCATCAACACAAATGGCCTCTGCTGTTCTGGCAGCCACTCTCAGCTGGAAGTTGGTTTTGCAATACCTTGGCTACCAGTCCCCAAAACTTATTTATCTTTATCACTGTACAAATACCAAAATTATCTGAAAATGACTTCTATCTTCTGCCAGCAATGTTTGTAAAAGTGTGCAAAACATTTTTATTCAGGGTCTGCCGTCCATACCCAGCCATAACCCTATCCGTCCCAGGTCCTGCCCCACTGGGAACGTAATAAAATCCCACTAAAGTAACGGTTATTCTTTCACAGAATCGTTTGGCACATTGTAACTACAGTTGGCTCATCATTAAACTGTTGGGGAAGTTGAAATGCATAGACTGTATCACTAGAAGAAGCCGGGGCACAGGCTCTTCTACACTTTCCCCCGGTAACACCCCAAGAACTCAACCGCTCAAGTTGCTCACTGTCCTTCAGAGGGAGGCACTTTTTCTTACATTGAATGTTTGACTTCAGCCATTCTAGCTGATCCAACGTCTTTAGTGAGAAAGGATCGGTATGACACGTCATGTCCGCTCAGCCTCGAACTAGGCAGTCAAATAAGCCCCATGGACATCTGATGGCACTGTTCTCCCCTCTGAGCCTTTGCCTTCTCAGAACAGCACTTTGGCATTTCCAGGTGTTCATAATCTTCTGTTTGAATCATATTTAAAAAAATCCTGTATCTTCAGTGTCCTCAGATCTGATTATTTGATCTTCTGATTTCATTAGTACAAATGGAGCACATACAAAATTGGAAAAAATAGCTCTAATACTTAAATTCTGACAACTCCATAGTTTGATGCATTATTTGCTTGGGGAAAAAAATTACAACATATACAAAAATGTATTTGATACAAAGAAGGGAAATGTAAAATAAAGTCAAAGGCACCAGCATAACTTCCAAAGCCCAAATCAGAGCATAGATACAATACATATTTTCGAACCACCCACCGCACCAAGCACATTATCCCTTAAGCTTCTGTCCAGCAAGTCTAATGGGAAAAAAGGAGCAGACAGGAAGAGAGCTGGAATTTCTTTTCTTGCCCTGACTATAGCTGATCATTTGATCATAAATAAAGTATCTGATCACTACCTACATATCCATAAACTGACATCCAAAGACTTGACCAATCATTAAGTTTCTACAAAGAGGCCACATCTTTGATTAAAAGTCCACAGAGCACAGGCATATGAGAAACAGCTGAATACTTCTCTTCCCCCTCTCTCCATATTCATCTTAAAAAGCAAAACACATCTCAATACATGATGATTTCTTAAGTAGCAAAGCTGTCAATTCTACAGTACAGTAACAGCTAATCCGTAAAAGAAATGAGGGGCAAGATGTACCTTCACATTTGTCACACTTGCCATGAATCTATTGGAGTCATATGGGAGCTTACTAGAGCGATTTAAAAGTAAACAGGTAGAGGGGAGGAAGAGGAGAATGAGAGAGATCAGCAGGTAAAATTAGTACTGCTCTCTGAAAGCTTGAATCTGTCATTCAAGTATTGAAAGTACCCAAAAGGGTACAATGAATGGGAGCTGTTACAGCAAAGTCGTTAAAAACCCTTAAAACCCCGGGCACAGTAAGTGGCATTTCTGGGCTGTCTGCAGGAGAAGGAAAAAAAAAAAAAGAAAAAAAAAAAAAAAAAAGGCCAGTAATTCAGTCCTCAATTCCTTCTGGACCCCAGACAGGGATCGCTAGAGTCACCACAATTTATTTTGGGCGTCTTCTGGATGAGAGTTTCTTCCCTTTTGCAGATGGTTTCCCCCCCACAAAATCCCTTCCCTCCCCCCAGAAGTGTAACAATTTCATATATTATAAAGATTTGTAAAATACAAACAAACAAAAAAAAGGTTGAAGGCTGTGGCAGTAATGTTAGCGGTTACTCTTCATTGCTTCTTTGGCTGCCAAGATCAGTGGCGTCAAGCTAGACAGAGGTTTGGCCAGTTTCAAGAAGGGATGCTGCCAGGAAGAGAGAAACACAGTAAATTAGCGAAAGAGATAGTTTAAAAAGCCAGTAAAAGCTATACATCTACACAGCCCTTCTCATCCTGAGGTATGAAAAACAATGCAAAAGCTATCAATACCCAGCTCCTGAAGGGACAGATCCAGAGCACCTCAAGCCTGATAATCATTCCTCCTCACCCCAAAAGAGCCTAGGCCTCTCCTTTTCCAATAATTCACTACAAAGAGGTTTCCGGCTCAAACATCTTCTCTCGGTCCCATTCTGCTCACTTCAATGGCTCTATTACAGTAAGTTTGTAAATTGCTGGATGCTTTAGCAGTGGCAGAAAGAAGGCACAGATTACCAAAAGACTTCAGAGTATATTTTACAACCTTTGATCACTGTAGTTCCTACCAACTGCTCTCCACTAGAGTCCTCAGAAGAAATCACAAAAAAGAGACTGCCAGTCTACAGTGAGGTTTATCACAGGCTGACCTTACTTGTGGCTTCTGTATCTCAGACTGTGAGAAGCAGCTGATTCTCACCTGTAGCAATTCTTTGGCTGATCCTCTTTTCTCTACATCCATCTCCAAACATCGGTTCAAGAAATCTCGGAATATTGGGGACAGTTTCTCGGGGTTCTGCAGCTCTGGTGTGCCATTAGTTGCTATCAAATATAAAGCCTGTAAAATAAGGAACATTGTGTAACCAAGCGAAATCTTTAAAAGATGCCAAACTGACCTACCTAGCAGCAATCCCTTAGTCTAGATGAGAACAGGCTCTGCAGCCTATTTCTCTCCCTGATGAGACGAAAAACTGTAAAAATGCCACAATTATAGGCAGTCATGACCTATTCTTGCTACTAGCAAAATAATGTTCAAAATCTTTTGGCAACAGGTACTTACCTTGGCAAAGAAAATATCAGATTCTGACACAAGCAGCATTTTTCATAACCTAATGTATTTACTTTCCCTAACTATCACAGAAGACTGAGTTCAAAGTCCAATGTTTTAGTTACAAGCAGGTACTCATCTTCTAAACAGAAAAATTCAGGGTAGGCCTGACTGCAAATTCAAGACAGCTGTCTTCCTTTTGGAGAAATTTTCTTGCACTGCTGAAGCTTGTTGTCTTTTTTGTTTCATTTTCTTCTCAATGTACTATTAATGAACAATTACTGAAAACGTTCACATGGTAAACACCTGCAAACAGTTCTAGCCACATCTGGCTTCTTACCCTCAGGGGGTTTTCGTTGAGGTATGGGGGTTCTCCTTCCACCATCTCAATAGCCATGATGCCCAGAGACCAGATATCCACTTTAGGGCCGTATGCTTTCCGTGTGACCACTTCAGGAGCCATCCAGTAAGGAGTTCCAACCATAGTGCTGCGCTTGCTCTGCTCTGGGGTGATCTGAGCACAGAAACCAAAGTCGGCTGTAGGATAACAGAATTTTAAGAAGTTAAATTGGTGCACACCAAGTAACTGGGCTTCCTAGAAGACTTCTCTATTCCTACACATATATTTTACTCCTCTACACTTGAGAGGGGCTTGGGGGGGTGTCTCTCCCCCCACCCTCCCCTACATTCTCCATATTACAAAATCCAACGTGCAAGATATACAAAACCTGAAGGCGTTTAAGCAGGGCAGAATTCTGTGGAATGAAGATAAGGCTTTTTGTCCTCTGAAAAAGGGATACAAGTATTACCCTGTAGAACAGTATTTTGCCCAGTCCTTCCTTCAAGAAGCCTACGTAACAGCCAAAAAAAGTAATCAAGCAGAACACAGAAGGCAAGTGTTCTGCTCGTGGTATGTTATACAGCCTGAACTAGAAAAAACGAATCCACAAACCACGGCTTCTGCCCCACTAAACAGATTTTATTTGTGCAGCTATCGATTTCAACATTTCACAGCAATTTGGCCATCAAATACAGGTACTACAGCTGACAGAGACATGGAAACAAGGCTTCAGATAAGTGCAGTGCTACCCCACTCAGCAGAAGGAACCTGGACAAACAAACCTTTCCACAAGGTAACTACCAAAGAGAACAACCACACTCAAGAAAACGAGAAAAGTCACCTATTCCTATAGCCTTCAGGTGCAGCAGCAATGCATGTTCCATCATGTTACTTTATCCAGCTGCAGCACTCCCACTTCCCAGGCATGTAAAGCATCAATAAGAACACAGTTAAGGCAGGAGACAGATATTACCTTATCATTGACACTAAGTTTGAGAGAGAGAAAGAGAGAAAGAGAGAGAGAAAGAATTTAAAATTTCAAGTTGATTTTGAAAGTGTCATGCCAAGCAGTGCTAACAAAAGAGCCACAGTCATGAAAATGCTAAGTTGTATCAAGAGGACAATTTAACAAAGAACTACCCCCACCCTGATTGTCAAAACGCTGCCTTAAAAAAACCAACCAAACAAAAAAAAAAATCAAACCTAAAGGAGTCACTGAGTTTGTCACCAGCACTTCTTGGCCTTTATCAAGGTGTCATACTCAACTCAAAGCACAGCTTATTTCAATGAACACACAAGAGAAGCAGCAGCAGTGTATGTCTCCTGACCTACCAACGAGGCCTTCAGCACCATGCCAACAGCAAGGAGAGAAAAGACAGGCAAGATGCAGAACCCAGTTTCACCAACCAGTAGTGTGTGTAGGTACGTAGTGGTGACAGGCAGACTGGTATCCCTTACTTCTCCTGTCCCCAGTCTCCCGGAAGCCAGACTCAACCAGAGAAGAGGAAGAGCTTGAAAAGATGGTGCAACTTCTTCCACCCTCCCCCCTAAACAACTGCTAGAAGCTCTATAAAGCACACAGCCAAATAAGTGCTAGTCTCAACACTGATTACAATACCTCCCCTTCATATAGGACGTTTTTACAGCTGACTCCTGTTTTCTCCTGTCTCTCCTTGCTCCTCATCTTCCCCCAATCTCCTGGGGCTAATGCTTCTTTACATAGGCTGCTAACCCTGTCCTTTTGCCACTCTGCTTTGCTTTGACAGCTCTTACATTTTTGAGCCTTCTCCAGCTAACTCTTCTCAGCCACATCCTCTACGGTACCTATTCACTTATCTTCAGCCTCTGAATCCACACAGTTTGTGCACAAACACATCACGCCTAAAAAAACCAAAACCTCCTATGCAAGCAAGCAGTGCATCCAACAATGCTGGTAAGCAAATCAGGTTGCTCGTAATCTTGCTTCACACTCCATCTCATAAACAATATGAGACTGCAAACCATCTAGACTAAGGAATACTGCTGAGATACATTTTCATGGCATTTCAAATTCCTACCCAACTGTAAAAACACCATCTCTTAACTCTGTGGCCGCTTTATGCTTTGCACATTCCTGCATACCAAGAAGTCAGATAATACACTTCTCTCTCAACAGTCCTGACAGCTTCTTCAAGTGATTTCACATTTTTTTATTGCCACACACGTTTACACACACCAGAAACTGACTTACTGTACACAAGTCCATGCATGCATAACAATTACCTGAAAAACAAGTAGTTTCTTTTGTCATTTCATGATTATATTAATGAAAGTGTGTTACACTTTCAGTCCAAGAAAAGGAGACCCAGTACAGGCGCAGCATAAGACTAGACTGCAATATAAATGGTTAATAATGTACAATGTTCTTGTTAGTGGCCTTCTGATGAAAAGGGCAAAACATTAAAAGCAAGTCATGACAACCTGAAGAGACTAACAAAGCAACGGCAGTTAACTGCAACTTTTCTCTTGCAATCATTTGCATCTTTGCTTCACTGTATGGTGCCAGTTACTTCATATTTATCAATGTATTCATGTGGCAACAGGTTTGCTTCAACATCCTTCCGGTCTAACACGTTCACAGCCTTACTCTTAGGGCCCTCAGAATTTCAATACTTGCTACCTGCGAGTTATACATTTTATAACACAGAATGAATTTCTATTACTCATAGTCAATAAAAATTCACCTCAAATTTCCCTGCCAACTCTCCTTCTACTGATTTACACTCTCTGAGTCAAGGTTTACTGGGAAAGGGAAAATAGAACATTGAAACAATTGTCTGGTACTCACTTAGTTTAACCGATCCATCCATTCCTAACAGCACGTTGTCACTCTTAATGTCTCTGTGGATGACCTGGTTGGCATGTAGGAACTCAAGCGCTTGCAAGCACTGGATGGGAAAAAAAAAATATTCAGCATATGGAAACACAATTTGTGTATGTGAACACAAACTCAAAAGCAATGCTTACACCCTCAGCCAGCGCTGAGTGCAAAAATATAACAGGTATTATTTAAAATAACCAGCAGAGGAAGCTCTTGTACTAAAAAATACTCTCTAGATCTCATGAGGTCAAAAATCATTTAACTATGGAGCTTCTCTGCTATCTTAACAAATGCATAAATTAAACTCCTCGTCACCCAGTCATCACCCAAGATGCTCTCAAAAATCCCAGATGTTACTTCTGGTACATCCCACAAATTCTACAGAGGAACCATAAAGAATATAAGTGAGAGCTTTTTAGCCTGAAGTCTCACCAAGAGGAACTGGTGAGACTTCATTCTCAACATGCATGCAACTTCTCCTGCAGTGAAGGCTGTAAAACATCTTCATTATGAAAGTCACTAATACTGTTTTTGCATTGTTTTTAGATTCACACTAAGTTTCTGCCTAAAAACATAATGACATTTACTTCTGCTATTTGAGAATAAAAGGCAAAAAAAAAAATTGTAAAATTTTTCTCTTTTAATATAAGCAGAACATTTACCATTTGCAACTTGGCATGGATGTAGTCCCCAGTGAGTTTTTTGTGTCCTCATTTGCTTTAGCAAAGTAGCACTGATTTGCAGAATGAAGTGTATCTAACATACTGGGCAGTAGAGTTTTGATGAAGTACTATAGTTCAATATTAGACTTTTTCCTCAGAAAAGTTAATTACTGTTGCAGTAAATAATTACTTTCAGTTCTCTGCTTCCAGCTCTGGCTTCTCAGGAAACCATTACCTGTCCATACACGTTAATGTACAAGTTTGCTTTCCCTCCCCTCCCTTTTGGTGAGTCATCAAAAGCAGATGTCATGTTGATATAGTCAAATGGGTTTTTTAAAAAGCCTAAATTTCTCCTGCACAGCAGATAATACAATTACTTCTCCTTCCGCCATGATAAATCAAGGCTGAGCTGCATGCTGGCACACTGACTCAGGGCAGAAACCACTGATAAATTGTGATATCAGCTATTTCCAACTCTTCCATTTGAAATCTTACTGAAATCTTAAAATTATTCCAACTACAATATTCCGGAGAATTATTTTTCTGAGAAATCCATAAAGAAAGTTTAACTGTCACAGAACTATAGATTTCACACACTATGAAAACTACTAAAATGAGAAAGGGATAGTCTGCATCAAGTTCACTTTATTTTAGTACATGTTTCTTAAAGTATTCCTGTTTCCTCAGATCCTTTTCCACACTCTAAGCAAACACAGTTCCCCTTCTTCCTTCTGGGAAACACTCCAAAGCTTTCAGGCTTTTTTCTTTTTCTTAAATATGTTCTCATCTCTACTTTCTACATTACCTATATATGAATACTCAGTTTCTTTTTGGTGCCTTTGAATATTCTTCATTAGTCAAAGTTAAAATAAAGACATTCTTTTCAGCTGATAAATTGCTTCATTGCTCTTCCTTGAACTTCAGTCCACATTATTAATATCTTTCTGTTAACATTGTGAGCAGGACTAGGCAACCCAGGTACCAAAACCAAAATCTTTATTTGCTCCATCACCTAACATTCCCAAACACCCAGCTCAAAAACTGCCATAGCTCTTCTGTGTTACAACTTGCAACCCTCCAATTTTGTGAGTTAAACTCATTTTGTTATTTTCTCCAATTTTAATATTGATTTCTGCTCTCATTATCATTCATTCTTCCTAACTCAATGGCTCCAACAGCAATTGTTGCAATTAGTCCTAACCTAAGTGTACGATAAAACCTAAGGGAATTGAGTGTACCTTCATTCCTCTACCGTTCAACTGTAATACTCACCTCTCTGCAAACAGCAGCAATCTGTGCTTCATCCATACAAGTTTCTGTGACCACATCTGTTAGTGAGCCTCCAGCTAGATACTCCATCACCACAAACAATTCATCTCCTACAAGGTAACTACAAATAGAAAAAGGAAGAGCATGCCCGTTTGCCATCAAGAGATCAAGAACTGAAAAATGACTGATAGAAGCTAGTCAATGAAATAATTCATAAGCACTTCAAGACAAACAGTAAAAGAAAGTTAATCTCTGGAAGGTAGCCTGAAATGTAAATGATGACAATAAGCACTGCGTGCTTCTTATTACCTAAAACAGGCAGGATAACACCCTACATATCTCATGCACAACACAAGCATTACTCCAGCTGTGCTCTTGTCCACCACTGATCCCCAAATACATGTAGCACTGCATTCATGACAGAAGAAGCCTTCTTACTGAATCATCAAGACCATTCCCTATAACAGATTTCTTTTTTTTTCTTTAGATGACAGTCTAAATACAGTCTCGTTTGCTTATAAGACCTTTAGGTACAGGAATTCCGGGTCTGTGTAACTATATCAAGTTATAACCTCTTGATGCTGTCTGCATTTACCTGTCCAGGAAGTTGACTATGTTGGGGTTCTTTAGCTCCTTCATTACCAAGATCTCATTAATAATCAACTCCTTCTTGGGCTGTTTCTGCAGATTTATCTGTTTAATAGCAACCTGAATAGGACAAAATAAAACAGCAATCACTCAAAACCTCAGTATCAAAACCTTTTGGTCATTCTTAATACAGTAAAAAGTTAAAAGAAATTCTGTAACAGGATTAAAGGAGTTTAGCACAGCTTGTGGCTGGCAAGTTACTTATTTGTTAGCATACAACTTAAAAGAATACAACTTGATGAGTGTACAACTTGCACCCATAGCCAACATCATCCTCTTACAGCTGAAAAGATCCACAAACAATAACAAAGGCCAGAAGAGACAGCAAAGGAAACATTCAGGAGATAAAAAGATACTCGCCCAATTTCATATCAACAGGCCTAAAGCAGAAGAGAATCGTGTAGCAACTAAGAGAGAAAGTATAAGCTTTCCAATGCAAGACAAGGCAATTTGTTTTTCTATATTCTGACCAAATTAGTGTTTGGGTATAGGGAATGCTGGGAGGCAGAAGGAATTCCTCTCAAAGCAATTAAGCCAATGAACTATCCCAGAGAGAGAAGGGAAGATAATGACCTATCTTGTCCAGGAAATAAGCTAACCAGGACAAGTATTCCAGACTTTAAAATGGAGAAGAATTGTCCCAGTTACGTTAGCTACGACGCTTTGAAGAAGCAGTTCAGAGTTTTATAAGATAACCTACCCACGAGTCCAAAACCAAACACAAGAACCAATATAATCTTGTAGAAACAATCATTATCATATTGCCAAGGGAATTAAAAGAAGAGAACTTGTGGCACAGAATCACAAAATAACTAAGATTGGAGGGGACCTCTGGAAGTCATCTGGTCCAAACCCTCGCTTAAAGTACAGCCAACATGGAGCAGGTTGCTGAGGCGCATCCATCCCCTCTACTGAGACAGGACTAGAGAACAAGCGTTCAAAGACTAAACAAAGTTTTATTTCTGAAAATGCAGGACACTGTTGCCTGCAATTCTTGAAGGATAAACTGTTTTCAAAACCCATTTCTGGAACATCTCACTCCCTCTGCTTTTCAGTGGAAAGACAAAACTATTTTTAGCTTTCATCATCTGATTACTAGAGAACAAGGCACAAACTGTTACAAATTACTCTGACAAACATTCTTCTGAGAGGTGATAGCAGAGATGGAAACCACAGAAAGAAATCTAGTCAAATCATTTCGGCCACCTACAGAAGAACATTTACACAGGAAAAGTATTTTCATTGCAATGAACACAGAAATCTTACCTCCTGCCCCGTTGCCACATCAATAGCTGTGAAAACTGTACCTGAAGCCCTGGTGAAGAAAAAGAAAAACGTTACAGCCAGTTGCATCTCTCTGTGTAACAAACATGCACAGGAACAGACAAATCGCAAACACAAAATTGTGTCGGCTTTCAATGTTGCAAGAGCTTTATCAAAAAGAAGGCTATTAGAAGTAAGTGGTATCATAGAAATGCCAGTCAGTTCAAACAAAACTAATCACAAATACGCTCTCTTCTGACACCAGCTACACCTCCTGCATTCAGGATGTCTAAACCCCCAGAGCTTGTGCTGCTTCCTATGATCAGCTGAGCTGGGCAGGCCTTTCTGTAGTAGGTTTTACTTTTCATTTTCCCCCAGGGGAAGCCCACCCACAAACGCACACAGACCTATTTAGAAAGTATACAGTAGGAGTTAGGCATATATATAATCAAAGCTGGAAAAGCTAGAACTTGTATATACTTTTTTCTCAGATGAATTCAGAGGACCACTAGAATAACAACTTAGTATTGTTATAGTATTGTTAGCTTAGCATACAGAAAGCCTTCTGACGTGCCCTCACACTATTCAGCAGTGTTATTACAAAACTGATGAACGCATCTTACTGGGAGAGGAGAGAACTAGATACACCCAGTGAGAAGTTACAGAGCTGCACTTTTGCATTAAAAGAGACAATTCAAAGTTTCCACCACTGTGTAAAGCCTTCACCATCTATCACTGCTTAGCACAGCCAACATTTCTGCCTGCTTCAGTAAGTGGTAGCTACACGATAGTATCAGATAGAGAACAATACACCACTTTTAACACTGGCTTACTGGGAATAAAAGTTGGGGTGAACACTTACCCCTGCCCGATTTTTTCATATCTGGTGTATTTTTTCTTGGGATCTCCTATGCTCACAATAGTGCCTAAAAAAAAAAAAAAAAAAAAAAAAAAACAACAACAAAACAAGAAGTCAATCCTGATGTTTCCCTTTAGTAGGGCTGGCCTGGCCAAGATACCTCCAGGAGTGGGTCAGCTCAAGTAGTAAAGGCTGATGCATGAACAGCCAAAGCTTCCTGATTCAGTTCCAGTCACAAATGGCCCAACTTCAGACAATCGTTATGCTAGCTATCTGTCTCTTAACAAGACAGATCATGCTATTTCCCCTAGTATCTCAATTTAATGATAGTCTTCTGTGTAGCAAAACCCAGTACGAGGTTATGACAAATCCATTAGTTTACCCTAGTCCAGAAACTAGTCAGTTCTCAACTTAAGCACAGGAACATTAACATTGTGAAAAATTATCTTCAAGATGACTATGGAACAAGCAACAGCAGAAACAATTTTGTTTTATTATGGTTATATTATACACGTAGAGCACATTATCACAACTGAACTTCAACTGAAGAAAACTGTTCTACAAATTTTTTTGCCCAATAGTGCTCTGAAGCATATAAATTGGCAAAACTTCTGAATGCAGCTCTCTCAGCCACTGTCTGACACAAAACCAATAAAGCACAGTATTCACACAACCCTTACACAAAAATGAGGATGAGGGCAAAAACTTAATATTCCTCCCCCAGTCCTAAAGTCTTTGTTTATCTGAAATAAAAAACACCTACGTAGTTTTTCCATGATCTCTTCATCTGACATTTTGGTCTTCTTTTTCTGCTTATCACCTGATTTCGTTGCACTGTCAACAGATGTGTCACTGGCTGGTGCAGGGATGGGGTCAATTACAGACCGTGTATAAATCTGTTAAGAGAGACCATTTACCTAAGCGTTTTCTTTGCAATCATTGACCTTCAGTTGAAAACAATCCCAGTTCTTCAAAGATCCCTAAGCACCATTTTACATAACAGGTCGGAGGCAGAAATTAGACTTCAGAAACATTAAAGTCCAGTAAGTCAAGATGCTGGCAACCTTACTGACCTCTGAAAGAAAGACCCAGACACCTCGTGAACAGAGCAGATGCTAGGAGATTAACTTCCAGACAGACAGACGTTTTGTAGGTTTTCTGTTTATTCTTTATAACCCCCATGCTAGTTAACAGAACAGAAATCACTATTTAATAGCAAGATCAACTACTACTAAGATCTAAAGGAAAAAGATTTATGCTTCACCATGAAAAGAAGCATGAGACCCTCAGAAATTTACCAGTTGCCCCCAGTTTAGGGGATTTTCTTGGAGCTTTATTTAATTTCCTCCTAAGCTGTTCACACACATATGCGGCTACTCTAGAAATATCAAACTGTAGACCTGTCACATTGTATGTGTCTACATACCCAGAGTGGGCAATTATAAAGCAGTATCACTTCACAAATAAACAAAATTCACATTCACACTCCTGGAGCGAGAATAAGCGGGCAGCAGAGCAGCAAAATATACACCTACCACAGTCAACAGAATGAGCTGGAGTAAGTGGGATCCCTGGGACATTATTAACAAGGTGTGTAGTTCAGGACAACTACACTAAAACTTAATGAACAACTTCTTAAGCATTTAACTTTTCATGTAATGCTGACAACTTTGTGAGTGAAGTAAACTTTCAAATCTTAAATTTGAATTGTTTTGGGTTTAGGTAGTATATTTGGTGAGGCTATCACACTGCAATCAAATAAAATAAAGAAAATCAAATACACTACACTTGTACCACCGTACCGTGAAAAGTTATAGAAACTAGCTGCAGTTTTTAGGACTAAAAAGCCTCCTCCTCGCATGTTGGGTTGAAGGATAAGCATAGCTGGATACCTTCAACACAAGCTGACAAGCAAATCAGTATTAACTTCAGGATTTCTGATTCAACTGATATCCAGAAATTAGGCATTTTCTCAGAAAACTCAAAAAAAAAAAAAAAAGAACTTTTTCCTAAAAACTTACAACAGCTCATTTCACAAATATAACACTTTGCTAGAAAACAGAAGTAGAAAAAGTTCTGCAATACTGAGAAATGCAGGTCTGCACTGTAAATTTTACAGCTGCTCACCGATTTTGTATGATCTGGCCGTGGAGCAATAACAGGAGGAGGAGCTTCTTCATCATCCTCATCATCATCTGCCACAGCTGTTGATGGTTCTGAACCTTTGGCATTGGTCTACATTTTTACCAAAGTTAAAAAAAAAAAAAAAAAAAAAAAAAAAAAATGTCAAAAGAAAAGAATAGGTTGAGTGGCTTAAGTTTAAGTGCCCTATTACATTTTATTACAAGACTCAAATACTATTGCTCCAGTGAAATATGCTCTGCTGACCCCTTGATTTATGTTTTTGTTCCACAGAAAAGATTCTCATTTTGTTTTATACTGCAAGATTCAATATATAACAAATAGAGAAGACCTGAACTTATATGCGCCTAAGAAGATACAAAGAATAGTAAACACACTCACCATTGGTGTTCCTGAAGGGAAACCATCTTTTTCTAAATAGGACAAATAACAGAATACATAAAATCATCAGAAAAATAATAAAAAGTGAACTTTACAGAGTAAAGAACACAGACCACTTTGGAGATTTTTTTTTTTTTTTTTAATCTCTCAGAAAGCAAAATTTCATGGTCACAAATGAGAGAAACCAGTATTGCACTGCAAGACCATGCAGAAGGAAGTTGTAAGTTTCTAAAATCCTCCCCTAAGGGTAGGCAAACCCACTCATTTCCCAACTTGCTCTTCACCTCTCTTGCATACCCATACACAGTTTTCCAAATTGAGCACTGCTTGTCACACTTATGTGTTCTGTCTCACTGAGATGTAAAATCAGGATCAAATGGATATTTCTGTTCCCTGAGCAGTATCTTGAATCAAGAATGAGAATATTACAAAGCCTTATTACTAAGCTATTTTCAGAAATAATTTGGAAGAAAACCAGGTAAAACTGCGTCTGTTTGTAGGGCAGTCATTCTCTCAGCCCCCCCACATAGCTCCCAATCTAGGAGCCACAACTTATTTTGCATCTCTGATGTCACTACATGGTGACATCAAGTTCACAGATAGCTGTTTCGGCCACAGACAGGAGGAGCAAGGTCTCCAGCATGAAACCAATTAATCACAGACTCAGAGCCCCAGCTTCATAAACACAGCCCATTAAAGTTAATTTTGGCTGTTATTTTGAATTATCCAGTTCCATTTCTTCCCCTCTCCACTTAAAACAGGAAATTCACTGGACAACGCCAGTTTCCAGTAAGTTTTAAATCCATCTTCAAATATTTGTTCCTCATTGAAAAGTACCTTGCTCTTTCAGCATTTCAATCTGATTTTTTATTCTGAAAGAGAGGAAGACTGTGTTCCAAATACCCAACTCCTCTTCAATATGTCTTGCACACACTTGGATCTCACCTGGAGCAGAAAAACTCAGATACTTCTGTTTTGCTGTGTCTTTGGAGTCGTAGAATTTCAGCACATCTAGTACCGCCTGGGGGTTTTTCTTCTGTTCTAGCTTCGTGATATTTGAGGTCTGAAGCAACCGAGCCCATTGCTCTGGCATTCCCTGAAAAAATAGGCTATTTTAAGCATCATTCTAGTATTTTAAAGATTTTTAAAAAGCAGAACAAGTTTCTATCCTCTATAAAAAGCATAACACGCACAGCCTTAAACACATGAACAAGTAGGATGGGGTTTTAATGGGGAGCCATATGTCCATAGGTGACACAACACAAATCACTATGCCAACATGACACCACCTCTTTCAGGTGTATTAAGCCAGATGTGAGGAATGGGAATACAAAAGCGCTCAACAGAACCAGTGTTACCCACTAATGAAAGTAAACTGAAGAGGGTTTCCCAGGGAAGGCTCTCCCAGGTGACACAAAGCATCAGATCTTACATTTACACTGCAGAAGTACTAACAGGTCACAGTCTCATTACTCTGCATGCTGTACAAATAGACAATAAAATTATTTCTTTGATAGAAACGAAGACTAACTCACACTGCATTCTAAAACATGACAATGGCTTCACTACAGCACTGACCCACGTCTATTTTCCGAGCAACTCCAAGGCAGGTATACTTACAGTGAACTCTCCCGTAACAGCATCAAAGCCGACATGGATGGTATGCTCAAAATCTGATGGTGGGGAAATTTCTGGCCTTTCCTTTTCCTTCTTCTTGCTTCCTGAAAAAGACATTCAAAGATTTACTGAGCAAAGATTTAAAGTCCTATTGTCTCCATTTAATATAATCAATCCAGGCATTACAACAGTTAGGATGAATGTAACCATTATTCTGTTTACTGGATGGAGGTGTTTACATATACAGTGCAGTGATTTGACATTTTCAAGTTGGTACAGACTTCATGTAAGAATCAACAACTTGTTCCATTCAAATCATTTATACTACGGTAGCAAGCAAATAAGAGATTAAGTGCACCAGAGTGCAAGAAGCTCTGTTGAGCATATGAAATCTAAACATGAAATGTTTTACTGTGCAAAAAAGGACATTTTAATATGGATTAAGAACTACACAGAGGACAACTTCAGTTCAACCTCAAGTTCACCCTAAAGACAGTTAAAACTCAGTTGCCTCACTGCTTCAATTCAAGGTAATTAATGCAAACTAGGACTTCCTGTGATGAAGATAAGAGTTTATAGCCTGAGAGCAATTACCTAATTTAAATTAAAAGGGGAAAATAAATAAATAAATAAATAAATAAAAAGCAGGCATAATAAGTACCAGAAGCAGGAACAGATAATGAGAAGGACCATGTGCATAATCTAACCTAGATTCAATTAAATTTATAAGATGTTTTATAATGCCCGGGGCTTGGGTTTTTTGGATTTTATTTATTTTTTCTGACAAAGAGAAAATAAAATGGAAGACAATTTGTAGTTAACTCTAAACATAAAATACACCATTCTGTTCCCTTCACTCAGAAAATGTTCAGAGTTCAGTTGGAAAGTTTCAGGAACCTGTTTTCTTGTTCTTGCAAAAGCCCAAGCCCTGCTTTCTTTCCCCGCCAAAGCAGAGGAGTGTACTTGCTGTTTGCTCTCCAGGTAGAAGGATGATGTTCAAGGCCTCATCTCACGGCCCTCTGCTGAAAAGCAGAGGCCTGGCAGTGAGCTGTAGAGCGTGCCTAACCCGATACCAAGAAAACTGCATGTGTAATCCTGGGAACGCCTGAGGGCTCACAGAGCATATAGCTGAATCAGCATTTATTATAGCATGCAAGAATGCCATAGTGCTCATAACCACGAAGGAAAGCAGCACACCATTTTGCGATCTAACTTGACTACTATTTTATGTTTGTATGTCAAAAACAAAAAAGGTTTTTTGCTTTGTTTTTAAATTCACCTTAAAAATAAAAGTCATCTAGTTTCAGTACAGAAAAAGAGCAGCTAAAACAGCACCCTCTTTGTTACTACATGGTAAAAAGTTACTGAACACGGGGCAAGCATAGATCGCGCTGCTCAGAGCCAGAGAATCCGTCTGAAATCCCCTCATGCTGGCGGGAGAGGAAGGACGGGGAGCCGAGGACAATACTTACAAACGAAAAGCCATGTGGGCTGCCTCCAGCTGAACAATGCAGTGGAAAGACATGGCTATTATAAACAGGATATCTTTAATATGGCTGCACAGGTCAGAGCCAAAAAGCAAACGGACTGTCAAATGTTCTCATTAACATCGTTCAATCACAGGACAGGAGAAACTTGCTTATGTGAAAACCTTTAAGGAAAGTACTGTTTCTTCCCAATCTCTTGCAGTTGTGCATGTGAAACAGGGGAATTAAAAAAAAAAAAAAAAAAAAGGTTATATTCCTCAGGAAGGTTCCTGCTCGGGAGGCACTTGACATCGAGGGAACAGGAGCTGGTGCTCAAACCCTCCAGCATGTGCTGCGCAAATAAACTCACTCCTTCCAAAAATACACACATCTTATTAGTAGGAGACTAAAAAGGAGACTAAAAATCACTCCTCTGCCCACAGGAACTGCAGATCAGAGCAGCACTTCAAACAAACGCAAGCAGCGAGCTTCAGTCAAGAGGCAAGTCCCGTGAGTCACGCGTTGGCAGGACGTACTCGAGGCTCTGCGAACAAGGCCCCTGTGACCTGCTCTTCAACCTCTGATTATGTTTGCAACACAGTTCTGTATTTAAATGGAAATGCCTTTAATGAAGGGCAACACTTGTTTCAAACTGTGAGTGAATCTAAGATGTGGTCCCATGGCCCTGCAGAGACAGTAGCATACAGCCCTCCTGTTCCCGGCAGGGGGAGGATGCAGGTCCTTCAGAAGGATTCAGAACTGGAGAATTGCTCTGTCTGATTAAGAAAGCGCTTCAAATAGTTGGGCTCTTCTCTTGCCCAAATGAAGCCACAGGTACTCAGCAAGGCGTCACCCAAAGTATTTCATACACCCTTCTGCATCGCAAACCCAGCCTCGAGCATCCCTCGCTCCCAACCCGCGTGCAAGCCTACGGTGTGCTCTGGCCAACCTCCACACACAAAGCAAGAAACACAGATGTTTCAACAGCCTGGTCGTAGCAGGTAGATGACTCCAGATGGTACACTGAGTTACGGAACCGCAGCCGAAACCACACCGAAATCTGCCCTGAGCCAGCCACCTCGAGCATGTCACATGCATGATCCCAGGTCCTGGGCGATGCCCCACAGCACCTCCTTTAATAAGTTCTGCTCAAAGACAAACATTTCTTGTTTTAGGGGACTATTTTAAAGCTTTCCAAAAACACACGCAGGTTCATTTGACTTCAGAAGTCTAGCCAAGGAAATTCATGCCAATTAAGTACTCTAGTAAAAAGATGAGTATCACTTCATTTATCCTAAACAATGGAACTAGGGGAAAAAAAAAAACCCTCCATGACTAGGTCATTAAATAATCCCTTCAAACTCTTATGATTATTTCAGCGCAGAACTAGCTCAGACTTGGGGCAGAAACTCTGCATTTGCTAAACCTCACCGTCTGCAGTGAGTCCCCCAAAGCACACCACCTTCCCCAGAGCTGTCTCCTACGCTAGAGAAACCTCCCAAATTTTTCCCATGAAAAAACTTCTACCCCAGGTTGACAGATTATTTTGCATATAGTCCCAATATATTCCTAAAAACCCAAGAAGGAAGTTAATATTTCTGTAAAGCTTTCCAGCACCAGAATTCAAAAAAAAAAAAAAAAAAAAAAAAAATTTTAAATGGGCCTTTCTGGGGAGGGTGCGCCTCAGCCATGCTAATGAACAAAACAACTAACATCTGACTATTGTTTTAGTGCCAGAAAGCCACTGTGTCCATTTATATTCTGCTTACATTTGACAGCCAGTTTTGCAGTCTTGAGGGCCGAAAACATTTCTTTGGATGTTTACATTATCCTTTTTGCAGGTCAACCAATCGACAATTTTTTTCCGAATTAAAAAAAGGCAACTTGCAGTAGTTTCTTTAAGCTAGATAATTCAATTACCATTTTTCCTAACCGCATTATCTTGCCATGCAGTAAAACCTTCTGCTTTTTTTCAGAAGGACATTACTTTAAATACTTTTTAACATCTAGAAAAGATGAACTGACACCATTTTCTCCAAAACATATTTTCTCAGCAGAAATTATTTCTTCCATTTTTAGTTTGCATCACTAAATATCAGTAGGGATACAGACATATGCTAAACAAGCATGCAGATTAATTACCATAAATTTGGTACACATCAGTATTTACAGAGTGGTCTGAATAAGCTTAAGTAATGGGACTCCAAAGCAACTTCAGATGAGCCAATACAACTTTAGACAAGTCTTCAACCACCTACCCAGCCATTTCAGCAACGAACAAACCCACCATCAAGATAGAAACAGGAAATGTCCAAGGAGAAGTAAAGGCTCTATAAAATGTCACAGAGCTCTCCAGCTGCACTGCACTCACTTGCATTCATAACTTACTTCACAACACAAGCAAGTCTTCACAGTATTACTAACTCAAAGCAAGGAAAAAATCTTCCTTCATGTGCGGTTTACATTCTACTTCATTATATCCCTGTCTGTAAAAAAGGGCCACAAATGCTCTGATGAATGATCAATGCAACAGCATAATGACAAGTGCCATCCCAGCTCCTAAACCATTCTCCCAGTCTGAAGATGGACAGATTTGATCCTTCCACCAGATCTTCTTGCAGCACTTGCCACAACAATTTCTAGGCATTTCCTCCCATGACCAACCATATAATGGTAAAACACCAATTTCTGCAGTATTGAAGGGCTAAGCTAGAATCTGCTCCAGACACATGGCACTACACCTAGCTGACAGCACCCAAATTCATCACTTTCACCAACCTCAGAGGCCTGGAGTCTCTCTCTTGGGGTGCTGCCACCAACCTGTAGTAGCTTCTCACCTTCTCCTTACCTCTTTAAGGCTCTTACCCATGCCAGAAAAAAAAAGACCACCACTGCTATTGCTGTAATCCAGCCATGGACAGTTATTTCACAATAAGTGACCTTGTGAAATAACTATTCTGCTTCCAAAAGCTACACTGGCCAAATCTTTCCATCCTCTGAAAAGGAAAACACGCCCACCATTCAGAGCAGAAACTCTGCCAGATCATGGAAAGCCAGATCTTCTGAATACAGGGAAGTCTGCCTCTAGCGTTTGTCTCCAGGGTGAGGCATGGCTGCAAAGGGACCGCTCGCACAGCTGAGACAGAGTAAAAACCAGCCCTGCGGAAAATACTTAGCCAAGCGAATAAATAACCGGAGGAGCAAAGTCTCTTGAAACAGTCAAACCTGTGTCGGCATGACTGAACCAGTCCTGCCCAGCACATCAGCAACGAGGTGCAAGAAGCCAAGAGCAGAACAAGAAGACATTAAGAGCAGCAGGGTCTTCCCCTTGTGCACCTTAATATTAATCACAAAAACGCTAACTGGTAGAGACTAATAAAATGCATAGCAGTTTCAGGTCAGGCTTATAAATCCTTGTGTAGTTTTACCATACCATATGTTAGACGATATTTCTACCTGTGCACTATTTTGTTATGCATGGATACAGACATCCTGGAGAACCAGGATCAGGGCTCCAGTGCTGTACAGTCATTCATCATACAGAAAAGAGGACAGAAACAAAAGCACAAATACAGTCTAGTTTCATTATAGCAATTTTTTCTCAGAAATAATCCTTGTTTACAGCAAACCAGATTTTTACCCCACCAGCAATTAACCCTAACAGTGCAGTTACACAGACAGAAGGACTTCATTTTCCCAGGTCTCCTTCATGCACACTGCATCCTCCCACGATTTCTTTATTACCTTTTTGTCTCCTCAAGGTACCACATAAGTGGTCATCAACATGAAGTAACTTCCAAAACAGCTGGGTGCTCAGTTTAAACTAGAAATCTGCATTTAGTGTAGCAAAATGGTAAGTAACATGATACCCAGGAATCACAAACGTTTATTAGGGTTGTTTGGAAATGCATTACTTTAAACTGGGCAGCAAACATGAGAAGCAAGAGGTGGTGGCTTTCCTCAGTGAGCTATTTAATTTTTCTTATTTAGCATTTCATCTTCACACATCCCAGCACAAACAGAAAGAACATCTCAGCTCACTGAACACACATACCCAACTTTCAACACTTCCTCCAATCCCCTACACTTGGACAGGCTGGACTCAAATGTCTAAAGCGCTACCAAAACTTACAAGAAGAGTAAAGGAATACAAGGAGTAATCTTGGAAAATAGAGGCATCTTACCTTTTTCAGTGCTAGAGAATATGGAGATGATTTTATTCCTAGGTTTTCTCTCTTCTGGTACAGAGGGCAGGGGTTTCAAGCTGTGGTTGGCAGACAACTGGTCTTTGCCCCCTGAACTAAAGATAGTACTGCTCATCCGGACAGGAGGAGCTGGCGGCTTGTCTTCCAGTTCTCCGTTGTCAGACATGGTTCTCAATAGCTAGTGAAAGCACTGAAATACAAATATGTGTTTTAACATAGGAAGAGAGCATAAAAGACATAAATGTAGCATTTCTTCTGTTGGCCAGCGGGGAAGGGAGGTATGAATTAAACTCTGAGGAACTCAGCAAGCACTGCACTGGCAGACACTGATGTCTCCACCAAAGGGAGTGGATCTCTTCCTCCTCCCGCTTCTGGGCCACCCGTTCATTTGTCCCAGCAGCAGCATTTGTGGGATGGAGTGACAAAGTTTTCCAGTGATGAAACTAACCCAGTCAGAAAGAACAGTCAGTTATAATGTGGACCAGTTCCCAGATCTGGTTTACTATCTGTTCACACAAAGGCTGCGTACATGAAAGGCATAGTACACGTAAAGGCATAAGTATAACATCTTTTAGGGGTAGCTCTAGCCCAAAGAGCTTCATGCTCTAGAATCAAACACCCTTAAAAGCTTTAGATGTTTTCTTTCTTGTCATTCATGAGACAAGATCTTGGGGAGAAAAGAATAACTTATGTTTAGAAGTCATAATTCAACACACTGTCCACATTAAGTAGCATTAAGAATATCTCTACCAGAATTATACAGCCTACATTAAAGAACATGGGGACTAAGATCCACTGGATGCATTCCACTTCTGAATGAGGACTTGCATTACTTCACCACTTTGTGCCACATTTTCTCCATTTGTAAAATTAGTATATACTATCACCACAATCCTCTTCAAGTCCTTAACAAAAAGGAATGAAAGAGATGATGAACAAATAGCTGCTAAAGCTAAAAATACAGCACAACAAAGTATCTACATGACACATTCCACATTCAAGAAAATCTGCACTGGCCTTTCCTCCCTCCCCGTAATATCCTGGAGATTTTTCTCTGAGCACCAAGAAACAGGCAGCCTCTCTGCTACAGAGTAAATAGCACAAAGAAAGAATTACAGAAATTACCTCTTGATGACAGCTGAATAACAAATATGCCCCTCATTCCTCCATATGCTCAAATGATGAGCTAGCCCTTTGGAAGAGGAGTTAACACACCTCCTCTGTGTTGACCTCCTCCTCATCCTCTCATGACAGTTTAGGAAATTAATGGCCTACCGGTGTCTATCAGCTGCCCATCATAACCCCAAAGCACAACTCAGTCCCAGCCACACCACTGGAGCAATCATTATCAGTGCCATTCAAATGAGTCAGGATAAGACAGTGAAATCCACTCTAAATTATCACACCTTATTTCCAAAGTATAAATATTGTGCTATATAACACCTCTGTCCAACATGTGCATCTTGCATAACATGGTCTTAGCAGAAGAACTAAAAACAGGTGGACTGCCATTCCCTATTGTTGCACTGAGTGAATACTGCCAGATCCCAATGAAGAAAAACAAAGCAGGCTAGCAGCCTAAATTCATGCAGCACAAGAGCATACTGGTTTATGTCATGAAGCTCAAGAGAGATTAAAATGAATTATCACCACAAATGCCCATGAAAGCATATAATTTCTGTGCAAATACCTTCAGAGGCACAAGCAGCGCAAAGAAAAGTTCTGGCAGTGCAAATAAAAACTGGACATGTGCTGGTTGCCCCATCTACTTAAAGACTGACGGGGAACAGTGGTCAAAGCTGTGCAACACCAACCTAGACAAACCTGCCTTCGAGCCCTTTGCCTGATGATGGAGCGATAAATACTGGAACACTTGAACGTGTCTGCAGTGATGCAGTTGTGAATCAGAGTGCAATTCCCATCCTCCAACAGTCTTCCAAATTCACTTACTGATTGCTCTTTCAGATGTTGCAAGTTATCTGCAGGATCTTCTGTATTTTCCAGTACCTACACTGCAATATGGGGAAAAAATTAAGAACCCTGCAATCTAACAGCATGTCAGTCTGAGCAGCCTATCCACAGGGATTTTAATTCCAAACACTTCCCTAACAATACATATTGTTTGCACAAAGTGCATGCCACCAATTTCAGATGTACAAATTTCTGCTCTGAACCACCAAATCAGATATAGAGTATTCAAGAGTCCTACTGAAGTTGGGCTTGGAGTGATGGCAGTACAGGGGATCATAACCCATTTCCCTTATGCTAATCAAATGTCAAAAAAGAGCAGGATATAAGGACCACAACAGGTCCTTAGATATCCAAATGAGAATAGACATGTAAAGAAAGCACTCCTTTTGAACAAAGAAATACAATCAGATGGCTAAATAAACCATAATAGGTAAAGAAGCATATTGCATAGCTTTAACCCCAAAATGATATACTATGTGAAGAAAGCAACATCATGAGTAGCCTTTTAAGCCTAAAATAAACCCTATTACTTCCTCCATCTGTGCAGTTCTTTGAGCTGCCTGATATTAGCAAGAGCAGGATGTGAGGATAAACAACCAACCTGTATCTGAAACTGGACAAGAACAGACTTGGCCCTCCAAGCCCATACTAATTCCCCGCAAGCTCCCTTGGAGACCTCAGTCACTGAATTAACAACACTATAACATGGTATTCAGGTTGCAAATTTAAAAAAAACATTTACTGCACTTTTGTTTACATATTTTTAAATACATTTCTCACTATAGTAAAAATCCTCAATTTCCAGTGCCACAAGCAGTGCAAGTCAGATCATCGCATATTCAGTATTACAGCTTCTTGATCTGAAACAAATTATTCCTTAGCACTTTGCGTGCTCAAGAGAAGAAAACATTAAGCAACAAGTTGGAAGCAAGTACATGGAAATCCCAAACTCATCTATTCCACAAGAAAATAAGGTGCTTCAAGAAAATTGTATAACAGTGTCTGTGCAGAACCCTCAGAGCTGCAGTTCTGATCACTGTTTCACGTTCAAAGTATTCAGACATATCCTTGACCTTGCTCAAAGTAGAGCTGAGGAGCTCTGCAGGAGGAAGACAAGCTGCAGGGCTGGCAGAGCAGACTGGAGTGGCAGAAAGAGCTCAGGCATCGGCTTCCCACCTGAGGGACAATTAAACAAAACCCTTCAAGCTCATTAAATATGTGGTTTAGTAAAACCTCAGCTTTTAGGAAAAACTTAAGAGATGTGATTTATTTAATAACACAAAGTAGTATAATTTCTGGGCAGCTGTTTCAAAGACCGTTGTTAAAACAAACAGCTAGATGCAAAACTATTGTGCGCAGAGGACCATTTCAATGCACAGCAGCTTTGAATTCACAGCTTAAAGAAATTACAACAGCTCCAGTCACAACAGATCGCTTCAGGAAACAGGAGTCTGATCCTTCAGTCATCACTGGAAGTTAAAAATCAATCATGAACAATCATGTTCAAATCCAAACAGCTAGTCTCTTTCTGACAGCTGAGCGCAGAAGAGCAGTTCCCCTCTTTATCCTTACCCTGTCTTCATTATGCAGGGAAAGTTTCCACAGCATCAGGAAGTACTTTGAAATTGCTGTGGAGGTTTGGCATTATGGGCAATGACTAGAGGAGGGATTTAAAAAAAAAAAAAGGGGGCGGGGAGAGGAGAGGAGTGCAAACTGCAAATACACCCTGAAGCTCCTTTTCTGCTCTCTCACACCCCTAAAGAGGAAAAGGAGCGTGTTCATTTCACAGCAGCTAGGTGTAATCACTCTTGCACCATCACCCACATGGCTGCCTTGCTGAATCATGGCTTGTGCAGGGAATTGCAAGGACCAGGAGAATTTTCATTTTTTTTCCAGTGCCTGCCAGGAATCTGTATACTGGCAAAGGGGATGTCAAGTTCATATTTCTCTGATGGAATTAGACAACACAATTAATGGTGGGGGTTTTTTTAGCTTGGTTGAAAGACATTTACTAAAATGGTTAACCTAAGTTTGAGCAACCTCATAAAAGTATGCTAAATCTGGAAGAAAGATGACAGAAGCAGCAAAGGAATATACAGAAGAGGACGTAATCAGGGGAAAGGGATTCACTTTCATCTTTGCCAGTGAAGATAACACCACTAATAATAATGTATTCAAGCACATTGGCAACTCCCCCACAATCACTAGTTGCACTACATTTAATTACAAGAACGAGAAAGCAATGGAATGAACCACAGAGACAAGCTGCGAAGCTGCAAACAATACGTAACTACAGACTTCAGACAGATTCATTCCCACCACAGGAAAGTGCTGCAACCCACTACATTCACAAAAAAAAAAAAAAAAAAAAAAAAAAAAAAAAAAAAAAAAAAAAAAAAAAAAAAAAGACACAAAAAGAGCTAAAAGCATTTCTCCAAACAGTTCTGCTGTTTACTCCACAAAACATACTCACAGGTACCAGTGCTGGTGACCATAAGGCTCCGATTCTCAGTCCTTATCTCCAGCATATGACACTACTCCCAAGAGCTGTCCCCTCCTTTTGACAAAGGTTTCTTGCCCTGCACTGGGGCAGCAAAAATGGCAGTACTCTTTTCATCCTCAGCAGCCTTAAACACCATGGTAAAATGAACTGCAGCAGCAGAAGAGCAAATGTGCTCCTCCTCTGCTGCAGAGCCAGCAGCAAGCGGCCAGCCAGGGGTCTGTGCTGTCCTAAATCACTTACCACCAACAGTGGGAGACCTGAAGCCAGGTTCCTCAGAAGTGCAGCTCTTTCCTTCCCACCTTTGCCCAGTAAGGCTGAGGCAAGAAAAGCACAGGGAAGCTCCTTCTGTAGCTTAACCCACCCTCTTCGTCCCAGCCCCTGAAGAGACCTGCAGTGACCAATTTGCACGTGCGTTCAGAGTTTCATTTTTACAACGATGTTCCAGGAGTCAGTTCTGCTGCTCACTAGCTTTCTTCCTTTTGGGGAAGAAAAGGGCCCGATAACCTACAGCATACCCAGGTCACAGAAGAGAGACAGCAGTTCCTGTTGCTGCCACTGGTGGGAAAACACCCAGAAACATAACACTGACAGTGAGTAAAAGCTGGACAGTAAAGTAAGAATTCAGCAGCGTTTTCAGAAAGCTGATGAACACGCACTGCTGCAGCACATTAGTCTGAGTGCTCTGGCTTTGA